ATAGAAGTAAATAATAAAAGGCAGAAAGGGGAAAAGAATAAAGACAGGGTGTGAAAATTAAAAGAGTGGGAAAAGTAAGGAGATAAACGTACGAAGGAAATAATGGAAGAAAGGGGGTGATGAATTAGAAAAAGAAATAATCATTTTAATCATTTTCGTTGAATTTCTATGAGAGTTCACACTTATGTTGGTAGTACTAGTATAACCATTAAATCTGACACAGATGAAATCTCTCAGAAAAATAATATTAAATTTACAGGGGTCTGGTGTTTTGTGTTTAATACTATGACACTCGCGAATACTAATCATGCTGTTTGCTCTTCGCATTCCTTGAATAAGCAACCGAGTTACAACTGTAAATCGTATATTGATACTACATGACAGAAAATTATTATAGAGGATTTATGGATGTTTAGTCGCTCTGTGAAGTAGGATGCTTCTCTTGATAACTTGTGAATATAATGCAAGACGACCGATAATCTCAAGAATATTTAAATTCCTGTGTCTTCCTCTCTAGATAAGACTTATCAGAGCTATTAAATCATAATAGGCTATATCCGACAGAGTTCTGAATCCCGTTACTTTGAGGTCATGTTGCTTAAAGTCGCTGTAGAGTTTGTCAAGTTTAAATATCTCCGAAATGTCAGGACTGTGGTGGGGTAATCACCGATCAAACGGAATGTAAGGTGCACGAGTAGTGGGGTATTTTAGAGTACCGTCTATCGATTGGCTGGAATAAAAGCTTCTCACTCACGATAACAATGCCTCCAGAACGAGCGTAAGACAAATTATAATGTGAGGTGACTGATTTGCTGCACAATAGTCCTAAGATTGGTCTTAATTACTGAAAAAGGTAACTACTGTTCTCGTTTGCTTACGATGTACTGAATTAATATAACATGGAATTCAACTTAATATAATCCTTTCTATACGTATTTACAAACTGTGAACAAGATTAAATGCACATGTAGTTGGATGTATGGACAAATTTACCGGCAGTTTTCCTCAGACCCACCAGCCAAACATCTGACCATAAACACTGTCTCCATAAGGCCTGGTAGCAAGTATAGTTCGCAACTGTAATCTTGAGACTTGCGGGGTGAGGAAGTGGGGTGAAGGAGGAAGGAGGAAAGATAGCGGCTGCCTTTAACGCTTCGGACTTCCTGCATTTCTTGCAAGTCTCAAGATTACAGTCGCGTACTGTACACGAATTGCAATATTATAGAAACAGTAGAACGGTTACTTTATAGGTCAAAAAACTCATTTTCTGCTGCATCGTGGTTCATACAGCCCATGTATTAAAGAAAGCAGATACAAATAGAAATAGTTTCCTCTCCTCATGCTCTATGTTATAACTTACCTTTTAAACAAAGCGTGAAAAATTTAAGACAAGATTACTAGTATATATTTCTATCTTTGAAGATGCTATTCACACATATACACTACGACACCTTTATCTCTAGCACATTATAAAAAAAAAGTAATGAATTCTAAAATGGCTGCTCTGTAGCTTTATAATCTGAGACCTGGTTTGATATTATAATTTTGTTTTCCTGAAATATTGTTCCTACTTCTTATCGAATGTTTATGCACTGTGTCGTATTCATTACAAGACCCGCGTTTGATCCCCGTGTGGCTGTCGACTTGTGTCTTTTTGGTCAGCGAAATAAGGTATTTTAAATTTCAAATTCCATCAGGGCACAGGGGAGTAGAAACTTAGTTCCCATATTCATGCTTAACATAATTTTCTTATTGCTTTAATGACCTGTAACTCAACTGCAATATTAATATTGTAGGGCACGATAAATTATTTTTGAAGGGTCGCAATTGAAAGGTAGCATCAAACTTGATGAACTATGATCTCAATATTTCTTTCAGTTTATATCGGCAATTTCTTAGTGACTAATGTGTGTGATTTTGAGAGTAAGTCACGGCCGGTTAAATTAAAATGTTCAAAGCAAACTCTCTCTTGATTTTTTCAGAATAAAATAAATGTTATCTGTATAACAACACGTCTCTTTCAAACACAATCGAAACATAATGAAACACTCAGTAGTGGCATTGTGTTTTCATTGTATCTTTATAAATTTAAACGCAAACATATACAGATTAACGCAAAAAATACTATTTTAAAAACTCTAAAATTAAACATGACAAAGTTTGAGTTCAAAAGGATTTATCTAGTCCAGCTGATTCGTTACACAAACTTAGTTTCGTTCTGTGCTACTCATGTAAATTCCATTCAAATCCGATAAGCAATTCAGTTTTACGATTGTTGCCCAATTTAATAAAATTTAACTTTCTTGCGACATCCGGTATAATTAATTATTAGCCCTAAAAGTGTTTCTAGAGAGTGTCACTATCAAATGGATAGGCATTAATGTCGTCCGAAGATGCTGCAGAAACGTCGAACAGAATATTAAGTCGTTTGCCCCCGTTCGTACATCGGTCAAACGTACTGTGGTCGGGGTGAATCCGTGCGTCTGAGGATCGTTAGAAATAAAAGACAAGACGATCAGGGCGGAGTAGAAAATAATCACATACTGCCTATTCTATAAACGTTATTTCCCAACGATAATCCTTTTAGTTCGCTGTCTCATTTCCTGTGTTGACGATGTATTTGGTTTATGTGTATTTGTTTGTCTTCTGTCCCCAAACTAATAGCTTAGGCAAAGCGTATTGTCTAATGCTAGAGTACAGTAATAAAATGTTCATGGAGCTACTTGGTTAAAATCTGACTGTACACTCCAATTATAATCTGCACTGACGAGCGTTCATAGTAGGCATGCTCTTGTTAACATTACAGTTGGCATTTAAATACATACTGGTTGCTGAAACATAATGGAATTCACCTACTACATAAATGTTTATCTTTATCGCAGCGATGAAGATGTAGACTGTAGATTTCGGTGGTGTGACACCGTAACTCCTCCATCTTCAGAGTAGTGACAATGAAGGCCATACTTTCTACCGAAACGCTAGTAACTACATACAAACCAGAAGACGATAACTGAAACATATTGTCATATTCTATAATGCAACAAAATATAAATTATTGAAATGAAAACGTATTTCATTTATTGAAAAGAACCAGTCCAATTCTGATATCCTGTGCAACATTTCGTACCTCTACCTGTCGGCTGTCCGCGACTGAATATTCAAAAAAATTGCGACCATTCTTGATGTCCTGGAGTCCATCTCCACCATGTTCGAGCCACAACATATCGATAGATGACTAGAATGTGTGTAACCATAATACGCATTTCGTTATTCAATTTATCATTGAGAGGTCAGCAAAGCAAATATGTCAACATTATCATCTGCCATCAACGTGTTTCGAAATTCCCCTGAAAACGTCATGGTTACCTTATAATGCATATAGATAAACCGAAAATATCCTCTTATTAACATTAATGCCGTTTATGACTGTAGTGTAGTTGGTCTAACTTAACCGGTAAAGTATTTGTTTATGAAAAGTCCCATATCAGCTATTCTCTAAAGTTGCTAATGCCCTTCAATCAATAAAATGTAAAGTCGTGCTTGGTGCTTAACTAAGCACCACGATGAGAAATATGGGGTGCATTCTTAACCTCGGCCGTAGGAGGTGAGTGACCTCCCTTTTCCGCAGGGAAAGAACCCCGATACACATTGGATAAGAAGCTGATTGGACTCAGAGCCGGTCTGGACGTGGTGGCGAAGAGAATCCTGCCCTCCCGGGAATCAAAACCCTGTCATCTAGCCCATCCAATCAATGACATATTTTAAACTCTTTACGTCAAGCGTAAAATTAAATAGCATTAAAACATATGTCGAAGCATAAGATGTGTCTTTCACTGTCATTCAATGTGTCGATTTAACAGTTTCAAACACATTCAGAGACCAGAACCTCAGCTGTTAACAACAAATTCAAAAACGCACTAGCTTACAACGTAATAAAGTTGATCAGAGTAGCAAGTCTCATTTCCATTCAGTGGGTTGCACCCTGCAATAAAAACGCCAAATCGATTACTGGTTGATTATAACGTAATTGTAGTCTCCAGTCGGTGTGACTAGTAAAGAACCAATATCGACTACATTCCACACGCCACTTACAGCTACAGACACAGAGCAAGCACAGAGAAAAATTTATCTAAGGCTTACAAGGTCTGACATCACGAAGTCAAATATTGCAACGTATTTCTTAACCTGAACAACTATTCCTTGTATCCAGCCCAATTTTGAGAAAACGTATCTCGGTTTCGTGACATTCAACACTGGACAATACTTAACTCGTTTGGCGCGTCTCAAGTAATGGTAGCTCCATCCCTTATTAACGACCCATAAAAAAACTTACGTATACTTTTCATATTGCGTTATTATACGACTGTCAAAATATTTCTTACAACTTGTAAGAGTTTTCGTTGTAAATAATCCTGTGTGTATCCAGTAGACATATCGTGTGAGATGTTCCAGAGACAAGCATCAAACGCTTAAAATTCTATGAAAATAGATACATTTATGCAGAAAGTTAAACCTTTCTGGTGCATCATGAAGATATATGTTACAGTCCGAGGTTTGTGATTAGAAACAACAAGCAAAATGTTTAAATAAAGTTTTCTATTAGCAGCTTCCAACAATTTAAAACATTTAATTTTATTTGGCACAAATCAAGATCTCCGATCAATCACGTTTATATAGCGGACTATATAATTGGAAGGTTATTAAATATTATAAATAAATGCAAATTCCGCTATATTCGTAAACTGATGCTGGAGTGTTTTAAAAGTGCCTAATCAGTGAAGTCTAAAAAGTAAGAAAGGAAATTATGAAGTAAATTATTACTGAACACAGAAATATGTCTTGAGTATACCATAATAGATTAAACTCTGTAGTGGTGGTACACATTTTAAGTAAAAATAACAAGAAATGAACGGGCAAGGCGTGTACTTTACACAATACACGCAAAACAGCACTCACAAACCGAAACTACGGAAAATAAAGTATAGATCTACAATACCAACCTTTACGATAATCCTACCACTACCATACACATCCCGACGAGATGTGAAAATAGCCCCTTGAAGAAGGCGCTCCAATTTAAGCACCCGAAAATTACCGCCTACTAACACCGACACACCAAATATACTAAAATGTCAAAAGCCAACATAGTTTTAGGATCTACCACACAACATTCTACGGCGTGCATAACTTAAAATTCTAATAAAAATGTAAACAACATTTTTATCGAAACAGTGGATTGTGTATCTAGTTTCGTTTGCGATCGACGGAGGACACGAGCTTTCGTCCGGCTGCCAAGACACTGAGGGAGAGTTCTAGCCCCGGCCAAAAAGGGTTGCATACAGGAGAAGGGGTGGATGCGTGCGCATCAGTCAATTACTCGCGAACTCTACTATCCATGTGCTATGGCATCGGTCTTCAGACGAGCCGCATGTACCTCCTAGCAATCGATAGCATTCGAGCGAAACATTCCCACTTCGCGCTGTGAGCCTGGTTCACACTAGCGTGAAACGGGTTACAATCAATAGTGAAACGTGTCGGACAGTGAGTTTGAGTTCCAGTAAGACGGACTGCAACTAACAGCATTCGAACGAAGAGTTCCTACGATCGCGGGTCACACAGATCGTGGCAAATATCAACATCATCTGAGCAAAGCAAACAACCGCGTGAGAGATTTCATCTCGATTCACGCTAAGAAGAAATGTAATCAACAGCATCGAGGCAAAACATTTCTGAACTGTTCTTAAGTGTTGTTCATTATAAGACGCAGAGCGAACAGTGTGTCTCAGCTACGCGACAGATCATCATTCGTGATACGTGTCTTTACGTTTTGGTTTAACCAAGACAGCTCTGTACATCACCGCATATCACAGAATCGTATATGTACTAACCACAGATTTAGATGTGTCTAGGGCCTAGACTCTAGGCAGTTATATTGGGGAACATGTGGCACAGAGCCTAGATCCTACTACCATTTCAGCGTAACATCAGCTTTCACTTGAGCTGAACAGCAACAAAGTTGTTCTTACAGTTCGCGACTGTAATCTTGAGACTTGCAAGGAATGCAGGAAGTCCGAAGCTTTAAAAGCTACTGCACAGCAGACGCTATCTTTCCTCCTTCCTCCTTCACCCCACTTCCTCGCCCCTCAAGTCTCAGGATTACAGTCCCGAACAGTACATATTACTCATAACGTACATATGGCCTGTCAACAACAGTGTTCTAAATTACTGAATGGTTTTCAGAACGTTCATATACTAGTTGAAGCGGTATCTAACAAGTGACTTGTGATACTTCAGGTTCTCACGATGGATAGTATGAATTTTGCAAGCAACCACAACAGTATGGGCCATTTACTTTATACATTAATTGTGGTTAAAACATGTCTTTGTTTATTTATTTAACAACGCTGTTAACATCCCAGATTGTGCAGAGTCGAATGATAAGACGATTAGTCAATGATGAATTGGAAAGCCCTTGGAATGAAGTGGTGGTGGCTGCCTAATTTAAGACACTGATGGGACTGCAGAATACGACATAAAAGCTCAAATAGGATAGTCGGTCTCCGGGTCGAGATTTAAACCGGGCCCTCCAGAATACGAAACAAGAATCATTCGACAGCGACGTTTGGTGATACGCACTACTGTCAATAATTTCTTCAAGTAACATTCATTCAGAGTTCAGTTGAGTTCTGTAAGCAGAAGACTAATTCCGTCAAACAGCGGGTTTTGTGGACCACGGCCTAATACAATCTTCAGTGGAGTTACTCTCTTGCTGAACAGATTTAATTCTTATAACTAGCACTTTTGCTCTTCCCTGCTCCCATTTATGTATTACTAAGTTTCTTTCCGTTTACATACTGCTTTATACAAATACTTTCCTATATTCCTTAATACTACAGCGTTAGTGTAATTTATCATTCTAAACTGCCTCTTCATTAACAATAAACCACTGTCTTCTAAAAATAATTGTCCCCTCTACTTCATCTTCAGACTTTTAATGCAATATGTAAAACATCTTTTTCTTCTCATTTTATAATCCCTCCCATTTTAAATGCGCCAGCCTTAGGCCATGCTAACTCACATTTCTTGTAGAGCAACCTGTGTACGCTTCCCTAACCCACTCAAAGTTCATATAGAAATAAAATGTTAACGGTCTCTTATCCCAGATATCTGCAAACAGATTACGACGTTTTATACCGTTGCACCTTTCTTAAATTTCAGCACGTTCTGCCCGCTCTATTATCATTTGGATTGTGCCAAATATATCCCAATATTGATCACGGGCGTTCAGTAACGTATTAATTTTATGTTGGCAGCTTAACTTACTTTCTCCCCCCCCCCCCTCTTCGTTATTACAAGGTTCAGCTATAATTCTTTCAGTACTGTTCATTTGAAGAAAAAACCCCGCTAATGTATTCTTCGCGATGATAAGTAAATTAACGCTCGTGTGTGTTGCAGACTTCTCTAAAGTATAAAAATCTCAATTTTTATGTTCTAATGGCATCATAATTCTCTGGTGCTAACCTCCTCATCTATATCACGGTTCCTGCTAAGCTCGAGAAGGTTCGACGCAGGCTTTAAAATTTTGCCGAGGATAGGATATTGATGCTCCTCTTATTACTGAAATAAAACCTCGGATATGCGAAAACGATCACAGCCAGAGCTCGTGTAATGAGAGTCCTCATGTACCTTTTTCTCAAGAAACCACAAGGGCTTAAATGCTGCTTATTCTTGAAATTAATTGTGGGGCGTTGATTTCCATTCCAGGAAGATTTTATTGCAAAACGTTAAGTAAAAAAGCAAAGCTGTACCACTATACACCATGTGGGTGCTTGGGGGGAGAGAGGTATAGCTCCTACGCATTCTTAACCTCGTCACTAGATGGGGGTGAGTGGTCAGCATCACGCCCCGGCCGCGCTTTACCCCCGGGAAAGGACCCCGGTACCCATTGGATAGGAAGCTGGGTCTGGACGCAGAGGCTAGAAGAAAAAGCCTCTGCCCCTGTCGGGGATCGAACCCCGGTCGTCCAGTCCATAGCCAGTCACTATACTGACAGGTTTTATTGTACCAGGTGTATAATGGAAATCAGAACAAATATTTGTTACTGAAAGTAGATTCCTTTATATTTGGCAAGGAAAGGTAAAAATAAATAAAAGCAAATATTTGAGTACAGTATCCTTTTGTGAATAAATAACTATACATTTATGCATATATACAGAGTTTTCCGTTCCCCTGGAATATTGGCTACGCCCTTCTAGTGTTTGCTCACACTCTACACTCCATGATAAAAACACTGGCTCCAGTAACTGCATCGATTACCCTCAGGTCTTTTTTTCAAAATTCACTGCATTCAGTTGACCTATTGGGTCCATAGATCTCAGATCGTAGGTTTTTTAAGCAACTGCGAAGATTTTCGTCCTAGCTGGGAACAATTATTATTAATGGAAAAACTATTTAAACTGTTGTCCACGACTTGCGAATACAACAGCAGATGTTTGGAAATATGACAAAAGTTACGTTCCTTGTGGCGTATTATTAAGGATGTTCAGAGTGTAACAAACCAATGTGCAGAACTATTTTCTGTGTGAATAGTGTAGTTAACACTTTAAAACACAAAGATCGTATACGAATATTTAAAAATTCATTTCCTGTCTCAAAGAGAAACGATAAGAAATCTCTAAGATGGCTGTCTTTTAGGTTATGGAGCCGTATAATAAAGCAGAAGTTGACCAACTTTTCAGAGGTGTCTCCTGCCTCCATCACCAACTCAGAAGACAGCCGTCTTCATACTGGCCGCCGTGAGAACCTCAAATCCTACTCAATAAGAAATTTCGAGGCAAAGAAACCGCTGCAGGCACTATTGGTCACTTTCCATGTGGAAGCCTTCTATTAGTCTTGGATCGTTCGAAGATGTGGAGGAACAAGTAGCAGTGAATTGGCCGAGCTACAACGTACATTGTGGTCGGCCCACAATGATCGTTCCGTGTGTAACCAGCCTTAAGATAGTTACCGTGCTAGCATTAATATGAAAGGTCTACACAAATATCTGTCGGAATAGTGTGCATATCTGCAGTTCAAACAGGATAATGGGACACTTTCCTAATGGAATGCATGCACGCCACCGCTGATAAATGCGCTCCGTCAAAACCAGTATTAGAATTACACCTTCCTTTTTTGATTTTAATCTAAATCTTCTCACTTAATATTCAACAGAACGAGGGATAGAAATTTTTCTCCAGAAAACTCTGAGTACTGCTGGAATAGAATATTTTGGTTGTACAGACTCTTAAAATGTGTTCTTTCCTATTTTGCATTTAATTTCTACCCTGAAGCTGAAGGTAACCTATTACACCGAAACGCTGGTAAACAACAAGACTAGTTAGTTTTAGAACCCGTAAGATCATGATCTTCATTATATTGAGATTTTATGTCCACGATCACGGGGAGTTCCATCGTATGTTGTTAATTATAAATAATATATGTATATTTTAAACAACACATTAATTATCAATTTTGGTTACGATAAATTTGTCAGGTATAAACTCACTTACAAAATATAAGTCGTGAGTAATATATATACACACACACACATCCCTTCAAAGAGTGGACTCATATGGTTCTGCAAATGACCGATTCAGTTATTCTTGTTTCAACGGAGAACAAGGGTCTGCTATTTGACACTTCCTATTATAAGTTAAATTTAAATCCCTTCGCTGTCATGACCGAGTTTCTTTATTCGGTATCAAACATCACATAATTGTTTTAATTTTCTCCCTTTCCTTCCAGCTGCTGAATGCATAAGTACAAGAAACTTCAGCCTCAATTAAGAAGTAATGAAGACCTTTGCGCACTGAAAATATTCTCAATTTCATACGCT